GAATAATGCAAAAGGGTTTAGAGTGCTCAACCACAGACACAGGAAAAAGGGAATTTCATCATTACAGAAACCCGGGCTGGGTAATTGCAGGTAATGGCCATGAATAATGACAGCAGAGAGTGCCGAGTGACGTAGGAGAGAGAATATTCTCTCTCGGAGTTGTAATTGCTTAAAACAAACAGTTTGGTCAGCCTGAGCTTCCTGCTGCCCGCCTGTGCTGCTCCTGCTGGAGCTGTAAACATTTGGCTGAGGCTGTCAGGGAGCAATTCCCAACTTCCATGGGCTCTGCATCCCACCAATGGTGGCAGAGGAGCATGTTGGTGTTCAGAATTTCTGATTTCTTTGTCTGGTGATTAATGACTCGAATGCACAGAACTGAGAGTTTGTTGGACTGGTTGCTCTCTCTTTTCCCACCTTCCACCCTTTCTCCCTGGACGTGGCTGCTTGGTAGAAAGCCCAGAGGGAGAACACTGGATCCATTTCTCTCCTCCCCTCAGCCCTGCCTGTCCATTCCCCCCCAGGAACATCCTCTACACACCTGCACACAAACACGGCTTTGCCTGCTGCTCTACAGCCTGATCACTGATTCTTCAGGAAGACATTAACTATGGAAATAGTTCCTGAAGAAGGAGAAGTGTTCCTCTGCCAGACCAATTCATCTGCTGCTGCAGCCACTCTCAGTGTCCTGTGAGTCACCCCACAGCTGAACTATCAGTGGAAATGCTGGGAGTCAAGGGGAACAAGCTGCAGTGATGCACAGCAGAATGAAGGAGAGCTAAGTCACAAGGAAAGGGACCTCCAAACTACTTGAGTTTGAGTTTTATCTACTTCATATCAGCCTGGTTGGAAGAATGTTTATTAGCACACATAAACTCTGCCTGTACTTGTCACGTATCCTTCCCATCAGCTCCCTTTTTGAGATTACTTCCTTGGCTGAGGCCTTCAAGACACCACACAGTTTGATCTCTACACTTTCAAACATTCATCACCCAAATATCCAAAAGATTTATGACCTACTTGGGCCACCCTTACTTCAAATGGCAAGTTGAGTGTATAAGGAACAACACTTCATGTGAGCTGGGAGCATTTCTTTCTCCTGCAGTACATGAAGTTGATCTGGGTCTGCACGATGCCACATGAGAGCAAGTCTGGGGAAGCCAACAATGAATAAAACACATGAATCCCCCTGGTGATGTCTCCAGGCAGCAGATTAAGCAGCAGCTCCTACTCCTAATACACTGACTTCAAGGCTCTTACTAAGAGCTGTGAGCCTCAGAACCAGCACACGGGTCAGGACAGAACTGTGCTGAATATGGGGTGCTTCCCACTGCTCAGCATCCTTTTCCAATGTACACAGCCCTGCTGCTCTGAGAACAGCCTGGTTATTTTCACTACAAGCAACATGACATCCCTTAGATCAGAAGAGCAGCTCCCCAGCCATGGCTGTGTGGACCAGTCCCAAGCCATCAGTCCCTCTGGCTGGCTGCAGGAGGAGGCAGAATGCCATCAAATGTCACTCCTGACCTTGGCTGGCTGCGTCTGAGGCAGCTGGCCAGCAGGTATGAAACCCCCAGAGCTCCAGGGACTCCCATCTTCCTGCACAATGGATCCATGGAGCTCTTGTGGAACACATTTCTGAGAGAGCACAGACACAGCGTGGAACACTGCACCACTCTGAACGAGTATCCCTCCATTCCATGCTTGTTGGACTTCCCCAGGCCATGCCCTGGCTGTATGCACTTCTGTAAGGCACTGAACTCCCTGCAAGCAGTGGATCAGGACTGTGAAGAGGATTATACTGAATAGTACAAGATTAGTACAAGAAAAGGGCAGGGAGATTTTGACAAGTTTTATAAAATTATGCCCACAAAAGCAGGGCTAAGTACTGCTCTACAAACAACAGGAGACAATAGTCACGACATTCTTCTCAGAGAAACTGAACAGGCATTCAAGCAGAACAGACTCACTGCTACTGCTGGAACCTTTTAATCCCACCCATCACCTCCTTGCTGATCTAAAACAGGCACAAGAACAATTGTTTTAAGAAGCTCTAGCTGCTGCCTGGGGAATGAGATGGGATTTTGCCCTGGGGGGAGCCAGGTGCTTTGCTGGTGTCTCACTGAAGGTGTCCCTGCAGCGGAGCCCTTGGTCCTGGACTGATGCAGAGGCACCCTGCAGCCTGGCCACTGAGCTGGCTGGACAGCAGATGACACGATGCCTTGAGCTGCTGTTGTATGGAATGACCCACTGAGCTGTGACCATTGTAAACCAGACAAAACCACCACTTCACCTGCTGCTCTTGGCCTGTTTTCCAGCAAGGAACAGAGCTCAGGAGCACTCAACTCTGAGCACCATTTTGTCCTTCACCGCTTCTCACATCTCCTCCAAATGAGTTTGTATACTCTTCCTCACACCTGGAAAATCTCTCCCAGCTCTGCTGGCAGGTCTGATCTTTCTCTGTCCTTGCTTTAAATACCTTTTATGTCCTTCTTTCATTCAGCCTTTTGACGTTACAGAGGCCCATCCTCTGCTGCATAAAGGCGAAAGTTCTGTTCCCTGAATGGATCTCACCTGCCCTGGGCTGTGCTCACTGTGAGAGGCCACGGGGACAGATTCCCACCTGAGGTGGATCATGCAGGTCTGCTGGGGTGATACACAACCACGGGTCACAGAAAACATGGTGAATAAGGAACGCTGTTCTCTGGTTTCCACTACAAGAGTGAGATCAGGCAGAACCTGCTCCATGTCAGCCCAAACCAACAGGGAGCTGCTTCCACACGCTGTATGGTCCAACTGCAGAGCTCCTCACCCCAGGACACTACAAACTGAGCACCCGGACACCTTACTGAGAGAACAAAGCCCACCAGGACTCATGAAATACTAAGAACTCTCCTGAGGTTCAGACACTCCCCAAGCTGGAGACCTTTTCATAAGCTGGAAACTGGGAAAGTATTCTGGGAATACCTTGGCACACCCCTATACCCTTCCCTGAGCAAACCCTGCAAGCTGCTGCAGGGGACAGCACCGGGCTGGGTGGGGCTGGCACCTGGCCCAGGCAGATCTTTATCCCAGCAGTGAAGTCCCAGCACCGTGAGTGTCAGAGCAGGCCTGGACAGACACAGGAGGAGCCCAGCACTCCCACAGGTGGCACAGCAGGAGAAGGGACCTCCAGAGAGCATTTGGTGCTCACCAGCAGCTGGCTCTGATAGCCAGGCAAAGCCAGCTGCTGCTGCAAGGCAGGAGCTCACCCACACCTCTGCGGCTCAGCAGCAGCTCAGCAGCTACTGGGACAAGACATCCATGGAGTTGTTCAAAGGAAAGGTTTCATTACAACATCTGACAGTGAAACAGAAGCCAACTGACACTGCCAATGACAAGGTGCTTGTTTGTCTTAATTTTTTTTTCGATTATCAAACTCAATGTCCATTTGGCTAAATTAGACAAAAACTGCTTTCCCATTTTCCTCTAATTTTTGTCAGCAGTCTGATGTAAAGCCCTAGAGAAGAAGTATGACCAAGTTATATCAGTATCACCCTTTCTACTTCATGAAAACCTACATACACCAAGACTGAAACACACACGGGTTAAGTTAAACATCATCTGATTATTGCTTAGTGTCAGAACAGCTCCGATTGTGCAGAACTGCAGCAGCAAACTCATATATTAATCATTGAAGAACAGCTCACGTACAAATAGAAGTGTTTGATGTCATCATCTGGCTCAACAGAAACACAGCTAGGCAACAGGAGCCTACAATGAACTGGCTCTAACTGACAGGCTTCAGTGTTTGCATAAGGAATCCTCTATTAGAAAGTTGCCTTTTTGAATTCCAAGGAGTTCCTTGCTTCAGAAATATTTTGGACAACACAAACAAAAGCTTCTTGTCTGAGATACTATATAGGAAACAGCATTAAAGACAAAAGCTAATATGTGATTGCAGACTCTATTTTGAAAATGCGTCCTGAAGAACAGTTGGAAATATTGGAAATATTTTTAAAGCAATTTATTCACAGATTTCCAAGACAGTCTGCACTCCACATGTTCTCTGAATCAACCAAGCTCCAGTTCTTACAGGATCACCCAGTACCAGCACAAATGACTGTTTGAGACATCTCCCCGGGCTCTCCCGTAAGGGTCACCGGGAATGAGCAATGAAATGAGGCAATAGTAAAATGATGCATTCAGCTGCCTGAATCCTTTTGTGAATGAAGAAGGGTCTGATCAATTCCTATTTACCTCAGCACACTCCTGGTTTCAGAATGGACTTTGGGGGTTTCATCGCTGCCTAGCAGGGAACGCTAATGCTTCCATTAATGCTCCATGTAAAAACTTGGAACAGGTATTTGGAGAGATAGGAACAAGAAGGAACAGATTACTATCAAGCACCGCTGACAGGAAGCCATTGGCACCGGAGAAGGTGAGGCTGGACTGATCAGCCAGCCACCGTCTGCGAGAGAACATTTCATTAAAGACAGAAAACAAACAGGACCCGTTTGCGGTGGAGCAGCAGCGCTGGGTGACTCATGCAATTGAACCACCCTGACTCGAACCTGTTGAAGATCTTGGCCCAGCCTTCCCTTTTCAGCATGAATCCGACTAGAAACGTGTCGGTAACCCCCGGGCTGCTGGATAAACACGGAGAGAGCCCATCCGTGCGCTCAGGTGCAGCAGCAGCAGCAGCGGGTCCGACGGGCGGTGCTGCCGCAGCTCCGAGCGCGGCACCTGCCGAGCCCCCGCCCTGGCAGCCGTGTCCGTGTCAATGTCCATCCCCGCCCGTGTCCGTGTCCATCCCCGGCCCGTGTCCACCCCCGTGTCCGTGTCCATCCCCGGACGGTGCCCATCCCCGGCCCGTGTCTATCCCCACCCGTGTCCGTGTCCATCCCCGGCCCGTGTCCATCCCCGCCCGTGTCCGTGCCCACCCCCGGCGGCACGAGTGCCCCGGTGCTCAGTGGCAGAGCCAGCGGGTGCTCAGGTTCCCCATCCCTCCGGCCGGTACTCACATGGCGAGCGGGGGCCGAGCGGCTGCGCCGGCTCCTCTCCAGCAAAGATGGCTTTCGGCTCCGCGCCCGCTGCCAGCCGGCTCCTACTGTTGCAGGCGCTGCTGTTGGGAGAGGAGGGGTAGGCACCGGCTACTGAGCATGCCTGCGCCTCGCAGCAGCGGCGGGGAGCAGGGGCGAGGCTCGGAGCGCCCCTGCACACCCTCCTGGCCGCGGAGCGCTCCGGAGCGGGCGGCGGGGGCAGCGCCGGGTGCGGTCACGGAGCGCTGGGTGCGGTCACGGAGCGCCGGGTGCGGTCACGGAGCGCTGGGTGCGGTCACGGAGCGCCGGGTGCGGTCACGGAGCGCTGGGTGCGGTCACGGAGCGCGCTCGCTGCGGCCGCACCTGCGGGGCCCGGTGGGAACCGCGCAGTGTTTCTTTAACAACCTCCCTGCTGCCCCTCCTCGCTAGAAAGAAGCGTTTTTTAAAGGAAGAGAATGACGGAAGGTGCTGCCGTTCGATCCCACGCTGTCGTGCGTGTCGTTTCATCCACTTGTGGATGAAAACCCACAGAGCAAATCCAGAGACAGATAAGCTACCAGATCAAGCACTGATTCTGGGAAGGTCATGTCTCAGAGGAAGTACAGCCCTTGCTTCTGCTTTAGACGTCACCTCACATTCAGCCTCAATCCAGGCATCCAGCCTCACCCTCCATGAATATCAACACCTCCCTGCATGCCCCATTCCCCCGTGCAGAACTGAAACTCTGAAACAGCACGTCTTCCTCTGCATGCAAACCAAGGCCTTCACATACTCTAAACAGAGGTGAAGGAATAAGAAAGTCTGCATGGTTTTTTAAGAAGTGGCATTTAACACTGCTGCCCCAATGATACCTTGTTCATCTGTGAAAAGTGCTTCACCTGTCACTGCCTTCACTAATTTTCCATGGGTGTCAGTGGCAGCCAGCCCTGGCCATTCCAACCAGGTATTTGGGTAAGGCAAGTACCTAGCAAGCTTTGCTAGGTACCTAGATCTCAAATCTTGGGGTGCCTGTTGGGAATAAAGTGCAAGTGTCATCAGATCAAATCTGTGCTTTCTGATGTGGAAATCCAAGAAAAGGTGAATTGTTCCTCAAAGCAATAGGCAAAAGCACCCCAGTTACTGGGAGTGAGGAAGGCATCAATGCAAATTTCATAGTTTGTCATCAGCCAGCTGAGTATTTTCATGCAGAATGTAGCCAGGGAACATGACAGCACCCACAGCCCAGAACACCCAGCTATTGCCCCAATCTGGGCTCAGGTGTTATCACGGCCTGGCTCAGATGTAAGCCACGGGCTGCCAGCTCTGAAGGGATCAGCTCTCTGAGGAAATACGGAACTCCTCAGAGTGACACTCACAGGAACCTCTCCCTTCTCCTCTGCTGCCTGAGAGCTTGCTCACTGCATTAAAGACTCCTCATACTCCTGCCACTGCATTCTGTCTCTTCTGCTGAGCCAATTGTCTGCATGAATGAATAAATGCCACTTGGACATTTTGGGCACCACTTTGAGCCTTAGGTTTTTCGCTAATAGATCACACTCATGAGAGCCTGGCCATAGAAACTTTTCCTGATGGAAGTAAAAAACACTTCAAACTGTATTTTCTCTATGTGAAGATGGAGTTTCAACCAGTTGGTACGCCCTGATGACAATCAGGAGATGCCCAGCTTTATCCACCCACAGATTACTTAGCATTTCTCATCTGGAGTTCCTCCTTCCTTCTGTGCCGAGGAGAGTTTACTTTTCAGATAATCCTAGACAAAGATACATTCATGTCATATATTATATATATATATATATGATTGTTTATATGATACATTTATGTGATTGCTTGTGTGATGCCACAGCAGCACCCACACCCAGGCTGGCACCAAACACAGGCACAACCTGCTACTGGGGACATTCTCACCTTCATCTTTAAACCCAAGCCACACCTGAATATTGAGAAAGTAACGAGTCATTCCTGGCTTGTGAGGTCAGGAGCTTCTGGGACTGAGACATCTTCCACCAGACCTTCCTGCCCATTCTGTGGTCTCACTTCCAGTCATTATTACATGCAGGGTGGAACAAGTGCTGGTGCTAGACCAAAGCTCACAAGTCTCCAAAAAAAAAAAACCCAAAAAAAAAAAAAAAAAAAAAAAAACCCAACCAACCAACCAAAAAAACCAACCAACCAACCAAAAAATACCCAAGGAAACCAAAAAAACTGGAAGACTCCAAATCCAACACATTGAGATGTTTTATTATACAAACTATCCAGAGTAAACGAAGCAAATGATAGTGTTTGTGCTGACCCCATGCCACCTTTATCCCTATTGAAGAGGAACAGAAAATATCCACACAAGCATAAAGGTGAAATGGCAGTCAGGAAAATTAGAAATCAGAAATTAGCAGAAGTGTTCCACTACAGGAAAACACCTCAGACCTTGTGAGCACAGTGCAGAATCAGCTGAAGCTACACCAGTGCCCCAGATCATCTGGCTGTGGCTTCCTCCAGAGTGGTACCAGAGAGGTCTCTAAACCAAATTAAACAACATCATTGCACGGTAGCTGCTAAAAATAGAATTTCCTACCAGCTAATGAAGGCATCACCATTCCAATCCAAGAAGGCTCACAAACCTGAGGAAAATCCACAGCTGATCTGGGGGACATTTCCTTTAGCCCTACGTTCCCTGAAGCTTGCAGACTGCCATTAAAGGCCACCAAAGCCTTTGGTGCTAGAAGAGATGCAGAGACACCCTGTGGTGGCAAAACTAATACAACCAGAATGAGTCCAAACAGCTTAAATGTCATTTAAGTCACAGAACTGTATCAGAAAATCTGCATCCTGGCGACACAGAGAAATTGTCCCCCCGTTGCTATTCAGGTACTCTCTCTGGAACTCCTTTCCTGTCTGGCATCTTTTGCTCTGTCTGTTTGCACTGCCACAGAGATTTTCCCTCTTATTCTGTTTGGTGTAACAACAACAGCAGGATCAGGGATGGTGCAGCTGGAGGGATGGCTATGGAAATGCTCCACTTTTGGAAAATAACTTCCTACATCTTCATCCTGCCCCTCTTGGGTATGGAAAACAATCAGTCTGCTTTGTAAACTCTTGGGTTTTTATCCCGTCCATAATTTGTATTTTGTCCTGAAGCAAAATTCTGTTTATGAAGGCAGTTTCAGAGCCACCAATACACTGCTGAGGATGTTCCAGAATGAAAGCCAACCAACCACCATCATCAGTGGAAATCAATTCTGGCATCTGGAGTCTTGCAGGTGCTATAGCTTGCTTATAATTGTCTAGGGGCAACCTGGAGATAGAACACTGAGGCTCCTGAAAATGTTATATACTGCTGTTACGTGATCTTCACCTGAGGGAAATGTATTTTCTCGTGGATCTGCAAGTAGGATCCCCACTCAGAAGGGTCATCATGTAGTCCATAGCTTTATAGACTACCCATACAATAGAGTAAATCTCCGGGCCAGCCACAATAACACTGGTACTGGTTACTTTGGCTCACAAAACAAAACACTGTTAGTGCCAAATAAGAAGGGTGAGAGCAGTTAATTGGTTTATAGAAAGCAATGGTAATTAAGTTTCACAAGATTTAAGCAGAAAAGGAAAGCAAGGCAAATAAATCAATTATTCAAATGCTACATTTTCAAATCTTCTGATCTGGCAATGCATTTAAACAAAGTATAGGAGGAATTCCCCCTAAATCTCCAGAACTCATGCCACTGGAAATTCATCATAGCCAGATAAATTAATCTTTAAAAGAGAAATTAAACATTATACACATGCAAAGTACATTTTTCTCAGAAACTATTGCTCAAAAGGATTAAGAAAATATCTGTTCTAAGTATCTTCAATCCTTTGTCACCAAGTTCTACATGTTTGTTTTAAGTAGCTTGTTTTCTTCTCTTGACTTTCTAGAAAAGTGGAATTGGTACTGAATGAGCCAGCCTTTGCAGCTCACTTCTTCTCAGAAGCAAGGCAGATGCCTGCCTGCCCAGTTGCTGCCTCTATTAGCCACAGGTGGTCTGTTCTGCAGAGCTTCACTTCAGCACCACTGCTTGCCTAAAATGGGTCTTGCATTTGCAGGTTATTTTGTCACAAATTAAAACCTCAAGTCTGTATGTGTGGGGTGTGTAATTTCCTTTCACTCACAACTTCTATTCATTCCTTCACAGCATATTAGTGCTTTAGTGATAATTTCCTTTTACAGGTCAGTAAAGCATTTGTAATTCCTCTCAAAAATTGTCTTTTCTGCCATTTCTCTGAGAGATCCAGGTCCAGCTTACCTGGGTTCTGTTAAAACCCTGAGTAGCTCATTACCAAGCCTGAGTAGCAAGGGGTGATGCTCTGTGCACCTTCAAGGTATTTACAGTTCCTTGTTAAAGTGTATTAATGGATAATTTTGAAAACTTTGCAGGTGTGATCCTACCAAGCATTTGCACAGTGAGGCCCACTCCCTCCTGCCTGTGTGTGTCCCTGTGGTAAAAAGTGGGTACAGGGAATTCTGCTTCAAAGTCTGTGAGGGGCTGAGGAGGGAGAAGAAGAGTAAAAGAAGAAAAGTTAAAAATGGTTGCCAGCTTTGTTTTTAAGCCTTTGTGTGGTTTGATTTAGAAGATTTGTGGGAAGTATTTGTAGCAGACAGGAACAAGACAACAGACAGAGGAGGGGGGGAGCATGACCCTCCAAGTCAAGCAACCAAAAGTTAACGCAATTACCAAATATGAAATGTGGAGCAGAGGGACTAATTCGATCAGAGAGGCCAAAGGGATAATTCTTGGAGACAAAGCATTGCAACGCGGAAATGTGGGCTAATCAACTGCTTTATCAAAAGAAAAAGGAAACCATTTCCGAGCCTTAACTAAAATCCCCAGTTGTTTCTTCATCTTTTCAGAGGTCTGTTTTTGCCTAGCAGCATTTGTTCCATCTCACATTTATTTCACTGCTTCTGGTCCCTGCACAAAGCTGTTTCCCTGGCTCCTGGCTCTTCGCTTGTGTCAAACAAGCTGCCTCTACTCTTGGTTTAAGGAACTCCTCAATCACGAAAGAGAGCATGCAGAGGGAAATATTCATTCTATTTAATGTCCAAGCCTACTTTCCATAATTATCTGGAATAGAGCAAGACTATCCAGAGTCACTTTGTGCCTGCAGGATTTTTCAGAGTAGGTATTTGCTTCATCTGATGGAAAGCGGCTGCTCAGTGATCTCCGCTGAACTCCTGTGTGCCTGGGACCCTCTCAGGTCTGTAAAGCAGCAGATCCAGACTTCACCAGGTACAACTCAGCAAAGCAGAGGTTTTCAGACCCAGACTTCTGCTTCCAGCTACGCAGGTGCTGCTGGTATGACAGATAAAATGAGCTGGCACAAAGGAAAGAAGGAACTGACTGAAGAAAGCACAGGAGAGGGGAAGCATGGCCGAAAAAAGCGAGAGCGGCTGTTCAAGAAGAGATTTTCTCGACTGAGCCTCTTCGCTGGGTCTCCCAAAAAGAAACTGTAAGTACATCCAAGATTATATTTTGCACACATTTTCAAACAAGAAACAGACACCTTGTTACCTCTGTTGGATTAATGTTTCACAAATGAGGAAACAGAGGCTAATTAAACAACATGAGCTAAAACTATTAAGTCACTGGCAGCACTAGAGATGAAATTAACTTCTCCAAGTCTTGTGTGTCTGTGTATTTATCTTACATCCATTTCCCTATGCTTTGAGTAAGAGATTAGCAGGGGCAGCACCTCTGTTTCTCCAGGTATACACCAGCACTGCCACTGGGACAACCCCACTTTGCTGCAGTTTTTGTTGCACCAGAGCTGTAACTCTGAGGTAAAATGGAAAATGCCAATGCATGGGCAGCAGCAAAAATCACTGTTCAAAGTTAATGATACTTGAAATTTCTTAAAATTCTGAAAATTAATGCTTGTGCTCCTGCAATAGTGCCTTCATACTTACTCTTTTCAGTTAGAAGGAGAAAAAGGGAAATGAAACAAGAAGACAAACAAATAATAAATATTTGTTATTTTCATCTAAGTAAGCAGAGGCAAAAATTATTTTCAACTTGCTGCTCTGTGAATGTATTAGTTTAGAGGTATCATAATTGTCCTTACAGGGTTTGAAATTCTCTTCTTGGGTCTTTCTCCCTGGAATTATTCTTCCTTGACATGAAGTAAATTGAATATATACTAGGATCAAGGAGGGGGTTTCCAAAAAGTGTCTTTTCTCATCCAAGAGCTGTTTTCCCTACAGATCTCCTAAAAGGAGTCTGTCTTTGGCAATTATCATGAAATTACCGTCTTAGCAGGAAGTGCACGCAAGTCTCCACAATTACTCAGCTAACTGCATTAGGCTTGGTAGCCACAGCAGCTGGTTGCAGGCTCCAGAGAAGATTAAAATACACTAGCAAGAAATGAACCTGAGAGACAGATTTTTCCCTCAGACTGATCTAATTACAGCACAATTAATACCAAGGGCTTGGTTTTGGGATTTTTCTTGCTGCAGTGGTGAGGAACTGGACTAGAAACATAGTCAAACATCCAAGAAGTGAATTACTGCTGTGAAATGTTCTCTGTTGTTCATAATTTCACTGAAGAGTGCATTCAGGAGGCAGACAAATACAACTGAAACAGTAAAATCGTGTTTTCTGAACATTGATCCTTATTTGTGAGTGATAAATATGAATTTTTCCCCAGTTTGAGATAAAAGAAAAAATTTAAAATTGAAGAGTGATCTAGTAATCTCCCCTGGTTCTCCCATGCTTATGGAGAGAGTCAGCCTTCAGACTTTACTGGACCTACTCCTACAGACACAGTGCATGGCAGTGGTTTTGAAATGCATTCAAGGCATCAGAGCTTACAGACTTTTTATAGTGGGGTAGCCAAACCAGATCATCTCTACAGCCAGCACTGATTCATGAGCTCTGTAAGGGATTGTGTAGGTAGAACAGAAGGGTATGTAATTTGATCAGGAGAACTTTTCTTACAGCTCTTCCATCTCTGGCCAAGGCCAGTGCAATACTGGCCAGTGCTGGCTTTACTGGCCAGCATTGTTGTGCATTGCTGGTGCACACAAGTGTGACAAGAACCTTTGTGATGATGTAGGGGAGCATGGGGTCAGACCCAGAGCTCTGTGGAGTTTGTCTTGTGTGTTTGCATGAGCTCATGCCACGGTCACGCACAGAAGAGCTGCGCATTGAAGCTCCTACTTTGTTAGCTGATGCCACTCTTTTGTGGTTTTGTTTAAATGATGAAAATCCTTTAATAATTCTATGCTCTAAAACTAATGGCTTGTCACTGCCACCACAGCACGAGAGTCAGACTCTCCTCTTTGCTCTCCATCCCTGTTTTTCCAGGTGCCACACACAGCATGCTCTCCTAGGGTGTCACAGGTACAGCCTCTGGGAGGGTTCATAAATCGAATGGTTTACGAGCTCACTAATTGTTGTGCTGCCTGACTCCATGCAGGAGCGCAGGGGCTGAGCCCGTCACGTCTGTGTGCCGGCTGGGCGCGCAGGGGAGCAGCCCGCGGGCCGAGGAGAAGCGGAGGGGCTGGCAGGGGACGGGCTGCGGGCAGGGGACGGGCTGCAGGCGGGGCCGCAGGCAGGAGCAGCCGTGCCCGCTGGCGCAGCCCGCAGCCCCGCGGCGCTGCCGGGGCATGTGTCCGGGCTGCGAGATCCTGCTGTGCCGGCCCTGCGGCACCCTGCACTCGCAGGGAGCCTTCATCGCACACAGCCTGCTCGACCACTACGACAGCGCAGCGCTGCCCCGCTGACCGGGCTATGGAAACTCTGCGGGCCCCGAGCGCATCCCAAACCCAACGCTGGATCCACCGGGATGCCGGAGCCCGGCCCGGCAGCAGCTCCGTCTGTACGCACCGCTCATTTAACCAGCACAAACCCGGTAAACAGAGCTGTAAGATAAACGTCCCTCAGCTGTTAAGGGCAGGGAATTGTTTCAGAAATATCCTCCAGAGCTTTCCTTTCCCTCTCAAGGAAACAAAGATTATCCCATTGAGCTGCAAACGTGAGCGTGACGATTACACGCAGAGCCTCTTGCAATGCCTTTTTTTGCTTCAGTGTTGTTTGTGGTCTAGAATATTAAACGTTTTATTTTTAAATTAACTACCTCTGAGATGCAACTTTATGGGGGAAAGGGGCTTCTAAACATTGTACTGGCCACAAGGATTGCAGCTTGCATCCCAATTCCCTCCTACAATTTCCAAACTTTCACAGGCTTTCAACATCTCACTTGTGTTCCTGCACCTCACCTTAAAAGGAGCAATGACAATCACAACTCACGAGGTATTTAAGCCTTCTTTGAACTTTTAAAGCCTGACCTGTATTTTTAAGTAGTTCTTCAAGCAGTGTAGTACATCTCCAGACACCAGGCCAAGGCTCTGGGGCAGGTCCAGGTGTACAAAAGACTTCACCACTGTGGAATTCCCAAGCAGGCGTGAAGGATCAAAGTAGCTTTGGGAAGAGATGGTCCCAAGTCTAGCAGCATGCACCTTTTCCTCACATGCCAAGGGGCACAAATCTATGTGCAGGATTAATTCCTTGCTCTTTGGTAGAGAACAAGCTAAACAGACTTAGTTTCCCACAGCTATTCATATTTATTTTATAAATATGAATGGCTGTGGGTTCTTTTATTTAGCCAAGCAGAAGAACACAGGCTGGGACGTTTGGACCTTCATTTCATCTCTCCTTTTCCTAAATTTGAAAGTAACAAGCTCACAGGGAAAAGGACTCTGTCCTTCTTTGGAGCTGTTCCATTTTTGTTCGAATGAACGTCTGGTAAGGTGACTGGAATCCAGATTTTTTTCCTATCCCTAGGGAATACTTGGACTGAGCTACAACATCTATTCTTGCGTTTTGTTTCCAGCCCCCAGGAAAAGAGTTTCAGCAGGAGGAGTTCAGAGCCACATATACAACACTCTGTACTCCAGAGTATCTTGAACCACAGTGCCCATCTCCTTTTGTGGAATGTCAGACACTCAATGCTCCTCATGCAGGAGGTACAGAGACCATTTCAGGAACCAGACCGAGCTGCTGGAAGCACCCAGGGCAAAACCCATTAGGAATTCCATGTAGGGGAAAGCCTTAGGCAGGATTCACAAACTGGAATGAAGTGCTGCCAGGTTCCTCCCTTCTGCCCAGACTTCACTGGTTCTGCACATTGACCTCCTGCCCAAATGCAGACTTCTAAAGCCAGAAATGAGATTTTACGAACACCCCTGTGCTACAAGGGCCTTAATCCCTCCAAAACCACGTTTCCATGGTGCTTGATTGTCACTTCAATTCATTTTAAAAGCCAACCAGGATGAACCAATGCTCCTGGCAGAAGCACCTCCCCTCTCCTCCACTGGGCATGGAATCATGTTTGGGGAGAGTAACTACAACATTTTTATCATGCACGAGGCAGCACCAACAGTTTTGTACTTGCTTTCTCAGTGGCTGGTGAATTACTGCACCTTGAACGCACTGGCTACCAAAACCTGCTGCAGAGATCTGCTGGTGCTGTGTTTGTTCCTACCACACCAGGGTGTGTCCATTGAGGTCAGGCAGTAGAACCACGCCTTGAGTTTAGCCTGGCTTTAATCTCATCAGCCACACCACAGTGAGCCCCTTTTGTCTCCAAAAACCCCAGATGCAAACATAGAGGCCTAACAGCAGCAGGGCACTGGCAGCACCTACTGACACTTGTGCACCAGAACAGCTCTGCTCCCTCAGCTCTTGGAGTGTCATGCCAGACAAGTAATTTTAAAAATTATTATATCTTAGCAGAGGATTTCAGGCTTAGATTTTAAAGCTGGCTCAAACACATAATTACACTAATACAGTATATTGTAAAAGAATAATAATAGAAATACTGATTACATATTTAAAAGATTTAGGCTTGAAACCATCTGACAGAATAAAGCAACACTATAGCTTGACATATCAATTATTAAGAGCCTCTACTATTTAATTATCTGATTTCAATAGCTCTGGGAGATTAAAGAGAAATATTGGACTCTTATATTAAATGCAGGAATGGGCTCTATCCAAGGCACTTGCTGGAATGTGAGTGACTTGACAACCTCTAACACTCCACTGCCAAAACAACCAATACAAGCATGAGAGAGAAAGGAGGCAAGCAGCAGTGTAAAAGCAGCAGCTGTCACTGTTTGTTACAAAATAAATGATTCAAGGTAGAAAATAAACCCATCAAGTAATCATGCAATCAGTAATAAACTAGAACAAATAAAGATCATTTACACACTGCATTTCAATTTCAGCCATGGGTTTTAAAGCAGCCCAAGCAGCTTTCCCCTCTGCCAGATGCAATGAAGGCCTTGAGAAGGAAAAGTCACTTTTACAGTGGACATATAGAAAGAAAGGTAATTAACATGAGACCATATGAACTGAAGGTCCAACACAAAATCTTTAAATTCTGTTATTATAATCTAACCATTTGATTACTTCTGAATTCAGAAACTGGTCTAAAATAATATGTTCCAAATTAGCCCAAATTAATTTACCAATTTAGTATTAGAGCTGGGTATTGTGAGAAAAGTACAGAAAGAATCAATGGACTGATGTACCAAAACCCAGTCTTGGATGACAGTGTCAAAGTTGAAGTCTCCTTTGACTTTTCACAAAGCAGTTAATTTATTTATTTGTTTTCTGAATGAAAGTCTGTATGCCACAGGTATGATGAAAACCAGGCAAAAGTGGTGATCTTTTCACTAATACAATTCAGCAAGCCAGGACTCAAAACTTAACTTGAAAGTATCACAGAATCAGTTTTGGTGAGCTGGTAAATGCTGCTCCCTGCCAGGTTCAGGTCTGAGAGGTCAGCCTGGGAAGCACTGCTGTGAGATGGGATCTTTCTCAGCTATTTGAAGATAATTCACAGGAGGAAAACACTTCACTGTCTTTCCTGCCAAACACAAAAAAAGAGCATTTAACTCGGCTCTAACTTTCTTTTCCCATTCTTGTAAATTAATTACCAAGAGTAAACATAGAGAAGGTAAAAACCAAACACAACACAACCATTGAAGGGCTATTAACCAACACAAACACTGAGCAGAAGCAGTTTTTCCTAATCACCTCTAAATATTCCTCAAGGTACAGAGGCAATGGGATTTTCTCACCATCTCAAGTACTTTTACAACCTGCATTAAACTCAACCACCACAAAACCTCTTTAGTCAGTGCAGTAAAGAGGTAACTTCCCTGCCTCCAGCAGTACACCGGTGTTGCTGGAGGCAGGGAAGGTGTTCCTGCACCTGCAGGTCCCAGCTCTCCCCTGCAGCAGTGCAGAGGGGAGCCTGAGCACAGCCTTGAGTCCGAGTCCCACGGGATGCTTGGGGTGGGACAGGGAACCCAGTGCCCTCGGAGCCACAGAAATGAAGGAAATGGAGATGCCACTGTGCTCCTCCTGCCAGAGCCCATGCACACCAGTCCCAGACAGCCAAGGGGCACTCGCCAGCTTCATCCCAAAGTCCTGGAAAAGCTGATGTCTCTCTCAGCAAGACCAGAGATGTCCAAGTGCTCCGTCTCACAGAAAAACAGAATGTGTCCAGAAGGGTTCCTTATGCAAATTCACATGCTGTGAATTACCTGAGGATGTCATTACTTTTTTCAGAGCTGTCACCTGCAATGTTGTTTCTTTTTAACTTTCTTGCCATCTGCTATAGAAATAATAATAATTTTAAAAAGGACATGGCAAACTTTAAATGCTACTATATTGTATATTAAAAAAACAAAACCAACCCAAACCCAACAAAACCAACCCACATACCACTTGTTACTTTTAAAATAGTCTAGAAGTCTTTTCAGACAGATGAGCCCATAGGGTGAGGAAACAAGAATCAATGCCCTACACAGAACTGATTCCAGGTAAGTTCTTAACCACTAAGATAAACATAGAAACCCCAAAATTACAAAAAAAACCCAAACCACTCTCAACAAAGTAAAACCTACTTTAATAAAATTCATACATCATCCAACATTTCTAAGCAGAACAACCATTTAGTCAAAAAGTAAATATATATATGTTTAATTCTCTTTCAAATGTCCACAAGAATCAAGAGCTACCAGTGTTCCTTGGAGAACAAGCAGTAGTTAAACCTCCCTTGCTGATGTTCAGGAACAATTTGTTACATCTTTTAACCAGCAGTTCCCTATTGCACGTAACAAACTCGCTCTCCATTTAAGCACCCAAAAGCCTGGTACCTCACTAAATAAATTAAAACAAATCCAGTTTCTGCAGCAACCATCTTCAACATATATATCTCAGTAAAGCAAAATTCCTGCAAGCTTTTAATAAATAGAGTCAGAAAATCAGTGACTGCATTGGTGTTCTGTGGAATGATCTTCCCCCATAAACTCTTGCTTCACCAACCACTTGGGGTTTTTGGTATGCATGCTTTAAAAATCACTTTGTGTAGTATATTTAATGAAAACATCCCTTACATAGGTCAGTACATTTTGCAGGGAAGAATTGATCTGAGACAGGAATTTCAGTGTAAGGCTGGAAGGAACTTCTTGCTGGAGCCAAACCAAACTGTGCCCCTCTGGGAGCTGAAGGCAAAGCCCCAGAGGCTGAGTGACTGTAACCAACAAGGGATTCTCAGGCATGTCTGGAATTGGCCTAACCTTCCTCATTCTGAAGGGCTTCTTTTGTGTCTTAAGTCAGAGGAAGAAAGCTGTGCAGCCCTGAACATCTGGATGCTGCATCACATCTGTCAGGTCTCCCCCACCCTCCACACACCCACCCTTCCTTCGGC